GGACCTTTTTCTTAGACAGCATCCCAGAAATGTGCTGGCCACAAGGCGCACTTGTCCAAGGACAACTTGGCTGAGGAGAATAAGCCCGAGTGCTGGCGTCCTTGCAGCCTCGTCAGGGCAGGAGGCTGGGGTGTATGGTGACTAAGCAGGTTTTTACTCAGTCCCACTGCTTTTGGTAAGATCCTACACCCCTGGTTCCAGGTGACCTGGTGTCTCTGAGTCCAGAGCCTCCCTGGTTCAACCTTCCCAGAGTGAAATTTCTGGAAGTTTTTTTTAATCCTCTCCTGAAGATGTGTTTCTTGATTTTTAGAGAGAGAGGAAGAGGGGAGTGGGGAGAGAGAAAGATGTAAGAGAGAAACATCTATCGGTTGCCTCTGGCACGCACCCTGACAAGGGATCGAAAGTGAAACCTAGGTATGTGCCCTGACCGGGGATCGAACCTGCAGCCCTTTGGTGGATGGGGCGATGCTCCAACCGAGCCCCTCGACCAGGCCAACATCTCCAGTGCTTCTGAGGGTGAGAGTATGGTAGTGGCCTTTCCACACGGGGAGAGAGAAGAGACCTGGGGTCTCACTGCTCCTGATGAAAAATCCTGACAAATCCTTCTCAGCCACCTCCCACCGCTCCCTGAAACTCCAGTCCTGAGCCTTTCAGGCTCTTCACTGCAAATCCACTTCCTTTTGGCAGCTTCCTGCGCAGGATTTAAACTCTAACTCTCTCTAGTCAGGTAGGTTGGCATTTGCTTTCCAGGATCTCTCTTGCCATTCCCGTCCCTTCTTCAGTTTGTTTTGTCCCTGTGGGACATTCTGTTTTGATCCCGCTGCTCTCGCTTATGGAGGGCCTCGGGAGGACGAGGAGATAAACGCGTGTGCTCGGTGTCCTATGCACTTCCTTCTACTTTGAACACAGAAATGGGGAGCCATTTAAAATTGTGTTACCGTAGGGACGATGCAGGAGAGAATGTGGAACTCTGTTCAGAGGCCCACCGTAGAAGATGTCTTGGCCTTATATTAGGAGCTTGGTGAATAGATAAATGCACTTTTATTTTTTCACATTTATATTTTTAGGTCAAAATAATATGTTTAAGTCATGTGTGTCTGTATGTATTGTTGTTATTACTATTCACCATCTTCATTTTTATTGTTTTTTAAAGATTAATTAACCCATTCTGTTTCTGACTGTGATATGGAAGATGGTCTCTTGTCCCTATGGCTTTAATTAACAGGAGATGGTGGCTGTCTTGGACCAGAGGACGTGGCAGTTCAGGGTGGTTGGTTACATCTCTCTGTTTCCCAGGTGACGGAGCAGCTCAGTCACCTGTGGAGGTGGGGCCGAGTCCAGGAGGCCACGGTGCTACCCCGCAGCCCTCTCCTTTTCATTTGTTCCTTAATTCTTTCAGCAACTATCCGCCGGCTGCTTGCTGGTGGCTGTGCCCTGTGCGTCTGTCTCACTTTGGGGACCCAGAGGCACTGACTTAACCCACATGGACATTTCCCGAGGGCCCACAGCCCCAAAGGGATATGGCAGCTTTTCCCTTGGACTAGCTACATATTGGTGACTTCTAAAATTTTTTCTATTTTCTGACTGGAGGTGAAAGTATATCTTTGTTCTCTTAATTTTGGTCAAGAAGGCAACCCCCCCGTGAACAGGCATGGTGAGGGGAGGGAAGCACTGTGCTGCAGACAGTCCCTTCTGTTTACGGACACGGTAATTTGGAATGCTTGAGCAAAGGACCATGGGTAATGGTTGTGGTGAACACAAGGACTCACTGTAATTTTACTTTACTTTATTTTATTTATTTATTTTTTAAATCCTCGCCTAAAGATATGTCTATTAATTTGAGAGAGAGAGAGAGAGAGAGAGAGAGAGAGAGAGAGAGAGAGACATCGATGTGAGATACATTGATATGTTGCTTCCCATAAGTGCCCCGTCTAGGGATCAAACTTGAAACTCAGGTATGTGCCCTGATTGGGAATTGAACCTGCAACCTTTTGATGTACAGGACGACATTCTAACCAACTGAGCCACCCAGCCAGGGCAGGACTTGCTGTAATTTTAAGCCTCATCAGAGGACCCTGCAGTGAGATTAGCGGTGTTGCAGGCACCATGTCACAGTCCTGAAGCCACACTCTTGACCAAAAGCACGAGGAAGGAACGGCTTGCTGAAGAGTATGGCCAGACTCTTGCTGGCCTAGGTCTCCTCTTCCCAGTTCCAGAAAGAAGACAACTTGGAAGAATAATTTTTCTTGAAAGAGCCATAGTTCATGTCGGTAGTATGGCAACAGCTTGCAGTTTATGTCTGCAGAGAAATTCAGGCCCAAATGAGCTGCAGATCGTTTTTCACTGTAGCCTTCCCATTGTCACCGACTTCCCGTCATCATGCGAGAGGCTAATGGAATGCCTCGGGCCTCTGTTTCTGCGCCTCTGTCATTTGTTAGGACTGAGTGTGTTCATACGGTCTTCCAGGCACACAGCGCTCATCTACCTGTCTGCCTACCTACCTATCACCTATCAGCGCATCTATCAATCATATCTTACTCATCATGTACATAAATGCCGTCATTTTTCGCAACTCTTTCTTTTCATCCTGCTAGTTCCCTTCTAGCTTTCACTCTCTGCATAAGATATTGTCCTGGTCACGGAAGGCAAGTAGGAGTCTGTGAGTGACACTGTAAGGAGAGAGGGCTTGTTGGGAAGTGACAGCACACGCAGAAGTGGAAGAGAGTCTGGCAGGACTGAGAGACAGCGGGGACTGGGGGCCCAGGGAGAGAGGAAGGGAGAGAGTTAGGAGGAGGAGAGGCCAGGGACGGAGTGTGCGTGGTAAAAGCAGACAGAAGGAGGGGGTACGCCACGGGTAGAAGAGAAACAGGGCTTCCTGGGGAATACTTTGTGAACGCTTCTCCTTTTATTTGATTTTATGTTTAGTGGCAGGCTTCTGAGGTCTGAGAAAATATGGGGTAGGTACAGCTCCCATAATACTGGGAACTCTAGGTAGCTTTTACAAGCTTGCAGTTGATTTTCAAATCTCTTTTAACCCAAGCCTGACAAATCCGAATCTAGGCTTTGTGCCAGAGAAGGGGAGAGGGGAAAGCTCTGACTAAGAGTCATTCATGCCCCGGCCTAGAACATTCGAGCAGCGAGAAGGATGTGTCTAAAAGCTCCCGCCTGCCTTCCACCAGGGACGCCAAGGGAGGCTCTCGGGAAGGGAGAGGGTGTAGTTGAAAGATGCCGTGTTAGCAATCAGTGACGTAAACCCACTAACATTGGCCACATTTCAGAAAATATGAACCCTCTGTTTTTAAAATAGACTTAATATATTTTTTAAAAACCTGGTTATAGACTAACCCTTGCTGTCAGGTGCTTATAAAAAAAATAATCCAAACAGGAAACAGTATGAACCGTCTTCTACCCCAGGACTTTCTGGCCCTAAGAAAGTTCTGCCCTAAGAGCGCAGCTGTGTACAGGCTGTGGCGCTGGGAGTTGTGTTCTGCACGGCGGGGAGCTGGGCAGCCGCAGGCGGTGGGCTTGGCAGAGAGAGGAGCATCTGGGCTCGACAGCAGAAATAGATGCCACCACCTGGCACACAGTCCCCGAGACGGTCCCATTACCTCCCCATCCTACCTCTTCTACAGGTTGAGCGCAGATGGCATTTAATATATATCTGATTAATTTTTTTATGACATAGTCCTGGTTTTAAGCAAATGGAGACAGAAGGTGTGTGTTTTGTTAGGGGAGTCTGCCAAGGCGGAGCTCATTGAAGAGGGAGGAAGTTTCTGAGGGCAGACGGCTTCTGGTGTGGCTGCTTGGGCTGGAACCTGGTGTCTCCTGTTAGAATAGGAACATGTAGCCCCAGGGAAGCGGCGGAGGAGCATGCCAGCCACTGGCGAGCAGAGGAAAAGTGGGCTCTGTGGAAAGATTTCCTGAAGACACTTTGTGGCGGCACCTACATGACCTTCCAATTGGATTTCTGGACACAGGCAGCTTGTTAGGTGGTTTAGTGGCTTATTTTTTTTTCCAGATTTGAACATAAATGCCAGGCTATGGCTGTTTGGGATGTGATCGGTGAAGCCAGATATTCTGTGAATACCTCATTGGACACCGATATCTAGAATCTTGATGGTTGTGAACTTTCAGAATCTTACTTGGGATTATGGAGTTTTGGAGACACAGGGCAAAAGTTTGACAGTTTTTGTTGGTATTATGTCCTCTCGTTCATGTGGTCCAGCTATTCCGTGGCATGTCCCGATGGATTCATTCGTCCTCATCGGCTGTGACACCGTGCCTAGATTCCACCGATGGGAGGGCACTTCGTCAAACTCTAACGGCCCGACACTCTGTGCGGGAGCAGCCTGCCTCTTAAAATGCCTAATGAAGTAAATTCTGGAAACAAACTCCCAGATGGAAACTCCTTATACACAGAAGTCTGTCTTTGCTGCAGGAGTTGGGCACAGTATCACTCCCCTCGAGAAGGTTCCTGCTCACACAAGGGCGACCTGCCTTTGGGGGAAAGAACAGTGCTGTTCCCTCCAGCTCAGGCTGGTGCTGGCCGCTCACCTCTCGGTGTCTTTTGCTGACCGAGCTGCACTCAGAGGGGCAAGCAGTGTGCTGGAGGCATGTGTGAGGTTGGACTCTGGGTCCTCTTCACAGTCCCTTTAAAAAAAACATTTTATTTATTTATTTTTAGAGAGAGGGGAGGGAGGGAGAAAGAGAGGGAGAGAAACATGGGTGTGTGACAGAAACATCTACTGTTTCTCTCTCACACCCCCCCGACTGGGGACCTTGCCTGCCACCCAGGCCTGTGCCCTGACCGGGGATTGAACCTGTGTCCTCTCCATTTGTAGGCCAACGCTCAGTCCGCTGAGTCACACTAGCCAGGGCCAGACTCCTTTTTCACCCAGTGGGTGGCTAGCGTGGCCTCTCAGGCAGTGTCATCTGTCCTGGAGACTAGAGAGAGCCCTAGTTCTGCTGATGGTCAATCAGAATTCCATCCCCCCCCGCAGATCCACGACAAAGAGGAAGAATTCAATGAGAAGAGTGAGCATGATTCCGGCATCAACGAGGAGCCTCTACTCACAGCAGACCAGGTAGGGGCATCTCCTCCATTCTGGGGACTTTTGCTGTTTTTGTTTTTTTGACAGAGAAAAAGTTGAAGAGAATATACTTGTTACATTCATTGAAGGCAGAAGAAAAATGTGTGGATGACCTGGAGTGTCTTTTGGAAGGGGTTTCATTTCTCTTTATGCTGCAGTTTCCGTAGCTGCTGTAGATAGGAAGGAACCCAGTTTCTGACGCTTGGTTTGGGGGGGTGGGGCTCTGTGTTTGGTAACAGCCAGGGGCGGGCCTTGCTGACTTCGCTTCCCCCTAAACCTCACTCGAATTCATTGTGCCCGGAGCCAGGGCCCCAGAACAAGGGCCCCACGCACCTGTTCTTCCACAAACAGATGCGGTGAAGGAGGCTTTCGTGTGCTGGGTATTTGCCCACATTTCAGAGAACGCTGAGAGTTCCGAGCCTTCCGAAAGGAGCCTTAGGGACACTTGTCTCTCTTTGTTTGTCAAAAAATAAAAAATAAAAAAGATATAGTGCTTCACATGTGACTGAGTTAATTATATTTTGGGCTTTAATAATTTATTCCTGGAGGAGAATAATATTGGATCTCTGGGTGCCTCACTGAACCTTTTAGTCAACAAACAGCTGTGGATGGCTGTTCCGAGCAGGCTCCACACACGTTTTCTCACAAAGTATTTCTGAAAAACCTCCGTTGGGAGCGTTGGATGCCAGAAAGCTTTTCAGTGGAAGGAATGCTATTGTGTTTGTGGTAAAAAGTGGGATATAAATAGGTTAGGATCCAGAGATCGAAGGGAACCAGGTTAAGAAGGACAGGGTGAACAATTATTCCTGTGAGTTTTAGGAGCCGGACAGCTCAGGGACACAATTCAATGGCAACTACTCCGAGAGAAAGGGACTCAGCCATACAGTTCCGAGAGGGGGTGTCACTTGCTTGCCTTCTGTGAATGGCTTTCGGGAGCCAAAGATTGTGTGTGCTCTAAATTGATGACTAGAGAGGAGAAGGTCTGGGAATAAAACAGCAGTTATGCTAAAGGAGGGGACCATATGTCTTCTTACCTTTGCTTCAGCCCAGTGTGAAGAGACCCACTTCAAAGACCTCAGCCCAGTGGCCTGGGAGCCAGAGTCTGTCAGAGCAGCAGGCACAGGCCAATGCAGAGCTCAGGTCATGGCTGTGACCAGTCTCCTCTACGGGGTCCTTTCAGAAGTAGTCTTTGCTTATTCGCCTTCCTCTGTGTGTCAACAGTTAATGGACAAAGTCGTTCACCCTTATTCCTCTTGCTCATCATCTAATTTTGCTCTCACTTCCAGGAGCTGTCCTCCCACCAAGAGTGTAGATGAGAGGGGATTTCTTACCTATGTTCTGTTCTCCAGACCCTACACAGCCTTTTCTTACTTTATTATCTGGATTTTCACTTGTTGCCAGGCAGCTCTAGTTCCTGTCTGGAATTCTGGACAAATGGCCATTTCCCTCTCTGTCAGAAAACCTCTGCCTCTGGAGTTGTGGCAGGAACACTCAATGTCGTTTCCCCCCAGTCATACGCATTGTGACAACGAATGGACTGAGTGTCCTGTGAACGCTGGGTGGATAAAATGCTTTCCCACTTAGAAGTAAAGTACTCAGCAAATTGAAGTAAATGTTCCCTTCCGGGTAGCTCCGCTGCATTTCCTGAAAAAGCTGTTTATTTCCAATAAAGCACTCACCTAAACACTGTTCTTGGAAGAAGCTTTGCATTAAAGAAAGAGCAGGTGTACGCTTCTGGTCAGATCTATTTTTATTATTATTTAATATTTATTAAGTAACAACATGGCCTTAGGAATCTTACAGACAGCAAATGAGCCATGTCCTTCTCTGATCAAAATTCAAGCCCGAATGTCCCTCCAGCAGAGGACACAGTCAGCGGTCTCTCGTGTGCCTTCTTCAGGTAATTGAGGAGATCGAGGAGATGATGCAGAACTCACCAGACCCCGAGGAGGAAGAGGAGGCTCTGGAAGAGGAGGATGGGGGTGAAACTTCCTCCCAGGCAGACTCGGTCCTCCTGCAGGAGATGCAGGCCTTGACCCAGACCTTCAACAACAACTGGTCCTATGAAGGTGAGGGCTGGGGGAGGGGCAGCGGGCCCGCTGAGGATGACCCCTGCGGGGGCCAGGCACTGGGCATGCGCTCCACATGTGGCCAATAGAACCTCGGACCTAGGGAGTTGGCAACATCTTTCTTACGGGGCATCAGGGCAGAAGTTAGCATTTTTGGAAATAAAAAGGCAGTTGAGCGAATTAAAATGGTAAAACTAAGCAAAGAATAAGACTAAAGCAGGCTGAGTAGAAGAAATCTGAACCCACTATTCAAAACGATGCCACTACAAAAATTGATTTAAAAACAAACCCTAGAAAAGGTAGTAATAGTAGCTCATGAGTTTGAAGAGTTCTCTATGAGCCACCCTGTTCTAAGACTTTCTACGCACAATCTCCGTTCGTCCGCACACCAACCCCATTCTGGTTGAACTGCGTGTTCTGAGGGGTTAAGCAACCTTTGCAAGGCCACTGTTGCAAAAATGTGATTATGAACAAAATCTCCTTTCACTCAGAAAGCCTTTCCATGGAAGTAGGGAGAAAGAAAACAATTTTCTCACTGAAGAAGCATTAAGCCAGAACGTGACGTACGCCATGAGCCACCCTCAAAGGGACTACAGGACCAGAAAGAAACCTCACTCTTGTTGGGAGCTAAGTGGATGCAATCCATTACTCTAATTGAGGTTTGTAATTTGGAGTCAGGTGACCACGCAGGTCCCATTATCCTCCTCAATGATTGCTTTTCAAAGCATGGACTCCCCAATTCTTGAGGAAACATTTCTGAGCCCGGAGACTGGCAAGAGGCTTATTCAGCCATTAAAATGACTGACATCATTTGAAGAGGACAGAGAGAGAAATTCTGAGGGAACAGGGGGTCAGGGAGAGGGAAAGGCTCCTCCCTTATTTTCAGCAGGGAGAAGCAAGCCTCTTACTGTGAATTTGCATTTCCTCTTACACCACATACAAGTCAGAAGGGTCGGAGCCAAATCTGAAGCTAGGCAGGTTAACTCCAGAGTCCTGACTCTTACTCTGTGTATTGTATGGATTCTCTGCAATGGATTTATAGTAATTATGATCATGGAAAGAAACAGGTGGGTGAAGAATGAAATGCAAAGGGTCTGGCTGGTGTGGCTCCGTTGGTTGGCACATCGTCTGGTAGAATGAAAGGTCCTGGGTTCAGTTCCCAGTCAGGGCACATATCCAGGTTGTGGGTTTGATCCTCGATGGGACACATATGAGAGGCAACCTGTCAGTGTCTCTCCCTCACATGGATGTCTCTCTCTCTCTCCCCACCCTCACCTCTTCCTCTCTCTCTAAAAGCAATGGAAAAAAATGCCCTCAGGTGGGGATAAAAAATGGAATGAAAAGATATAACACAGCAAGGGCAAAGCTGAGTATAAGGTCCATGGATCTGTTGGGGTTGATGTCGTTCTTGCTGCGGGAGGGGCCGCGCCCCTGGGAAAAACTCCTTTGGATGGGGGTGGGGGATGCTGGTGGCAGGGACTTAGGGACAATGGAGGGAGAAGGTGGCTGGGTCAGGCATGCAGATCCAAACAGGGATCAGAATAGCGGTGAGAGTGGAGGCGTGACCCGAATCGCTGCAGTGGAAGTGAGACTGGGCAACGAGGATCAGAGGCAGGGCGGTGACTCGCAGGAGGAGCCTGTGTGGAGTCATGCAGGGGACTTGGCTGTGACTCCGCATTCACAGCTGCCCCAGCCAGGCCATTCTCAGCCACACAAAGGTCCCAAACATAGGCATGGGCCGCAGAAAGCTCGTGAGAACAGCTGAAATGCAGAGTGAAATGGCAAAAGCAGAAGGAGGCGGATGGTGCCACAGAACAAAATAAAGGGGGAAGTCGGACGGAGTCAGCAAGTATCCGGGCAAAGCAGAAACGAAAAGGAGGAGGAAATGGAGATTCTGAGGCAGAAACAAAAGATGCCCTTAGAAAATGGTACATTTGCCAAGATGCTTTCTGAGTCCATTTTGTTTTAAATCCTCACCCAAGAACATATTTAGTGATCTGAGTGACAGAGATAGAGAAAGAGGGGGAGAGAAAGAGACAGACAGACAGACAGACAGACATTGATGTGAGAAGAAACCGAGATTGGTTGCCTGCCATAGGGCCTCAACCAGGGATCAAACCCGCAACCTTTTGGTGTACGGGACGATGCTCCAACCAACTGAGCCACCTGGCCAGGGCTTGAATCCATTTGAAATGAAGAAGTCTTGTGGGATAGGAATTTGAAATGAAGTTATCTTGTCCTGGCCAGTGTGGCTCAGTTGGTTGGAGCATCGTCCCATACACCAAAATGTTGCAGGTTCGATCCCCAGTCAGGGTGCCTGTGGAAGGCAACCAATCGATGTTTCTCAGGTTGACTTTTTTCCCTCTCTCTCTTTCCCTTCCTCTCTCTCTCAAATCAATAAACATATTTTTTAAAATTTAAATGAAGTCATCCGTCTCTCATGATCTCAGGTTCCCTTTCCTTTCTCTGACAGTAGTAGTAGACCACTCTCAGCCCATCAGCGTCCATTTTCCACTGCGCATTGCCAGTCTTCCACACATTCCACACACGTGTGACTGCAGGCACTGCCACGCAGGACGGCAGGCAGAAAGAAGGCCTCCAACTGCTCTGCTTGTTTTGCTCTTGATCAGTTCTGGGGAGGAGGCAGCACCCTCCATTCCTCTTCAGCACCAATGCCCAAAGCTCCTCTTAGCGCCCCTGCCCACCACCACCAATACTCGATCCATTTCACATGAGGAATACAATAGTACACAAACAGGAAAATGTGCAGACTGAGCAAGGGATCGGGGAACCACATGTCTGTCCACGTACTTGTTTTGTGGGCAGAGTCCACTAGCTTCCCTGGGGGCTGTTTCTTCTTCCCCCTTTGTTTCCCTGAGAGTGATGTTCTTTTCTGAGGATGATACACTGGCCCCGCCCTTCCCCACATACCCCTAAATTGTGAAGGCCTTTCCTGGCCCTTCGAGGAGTTGGAAGGGGTCTCCCCCAGAGTGGCAGTCCCACTTCAAGAGGCAGCGGCCCCAGGACCCTCCCCAGGGGCTCTGGCTGGACTGCAGGTGTCACCTGTGGACGGTCTTCCTCTCAGGACTGAGGCACATGTCTGGCCCGGAGCTGACAGAGCTGCTGGACCAGGTGGAAGGTGCCATCCGAGACTTCTCGGAGGAGCTGGTGCAGCAGCTGGCCCGCCGGGACGAGCTGGAATTTGAGAAGGAAGTGAAGAACTCTTTCATCACGGTGCTCATTGAGGTCCAGAACAAGCAGAAGGAGCAGCGAGAGCTGATGAAAAAGAGGCGGAAAGAGAAAGGGCTGAGCCTGCAGAGCAGCCGCGTGGAGAAGGGGAGCCAGATGCCTCTCAAGGTACGTGAGCCCCCCAGCCGGAAGCCTGGCCGAGTTCCGCCTTACACCGTCAGTGCTTCAGGCCCCAACTCCAGCCCTGCAGTGGACTCAGAAATAGGCCTGTGCTGAGCAGTGACGGAGCAGGACACTGTGGTGGACAGGGGATGTAAAAAGGGAGAAGAGGCCACCTGTCTCCTCTCCTCCCCAGCGGACTCAGGTCTAACTGGAGGGGACAGAGGTAAACACAAGAAAATCACTGGATGCATCCTCTTAGTCAAGACCTTAGAGAAGCGGGGTGAGGGCATTTAGGACTCGGGGTCAGAACTCCTGCTGCTTGCTGAGCTTCGAGTCCTGACTTCGCTCTGTAGGTTGTCAGTAGGCTGTTTCAGGATTGAGAATTAGGATGCTTTATTGTTATATCGACAGGATTCTTCAGACCAGTGGTTCTTACTCAGGGAAGCTCGGGGTAGAATTATCTAAGGAGATTTTTCAAAATGCCTTTGTCTCAGCTCCACCCCATACCCACTGAACTGGGCCTAGGTCGGCGCATTTGGAAAACGCATCCTGGACAAGGACTGTTGCTTGACATCTGCCCTTCCCAGTGACTGGGCGTTTTGTTTTCTTCCCTGCGATTTTTGCATCACCATCTGTCCACGTTTTACTGCGTGGCTTTATCTTCCTATTTACACGGTGGAGGTGGAAATGAGGCAACCCTGGGGATGACTTGCTTAGATAAGAGTCTTTGAGACTCTTTATTCTCTGAAAACTCAGGTTTACATTTGACCTGTCCCAGCCCATGGCTTACATTTACTGTCCAGTCACAGGCCACTAAGGTAGTTGCCTGGACCGAGTGGTGGCTCGTGGGCCTGGGTGGCTGGGGGAGGACACTCGAGTCCTCCTGGGGGTGACCACCACGGGGCAGGAAGCACTTGCTCTTCTTCTGTCTCTTTCCCCCAGCGCTTCAGCATGGAAGGCATCTCAAACATCCTCCAGAGCAGCATTCGCCAAACTTTTGGCTCCTCGGGAACTGACAAACAGGTACGAGCTGTCTCCCTGGTCCCCGAGGTCCTCCTAGACTCTTGGAACTTGGCCCCCAGCCCCACCCGCTGCCGGCAGAGCGGAGAGGGGTGATTCCATAGAGTTATCCCAGTGCTCTGGCAACCGGGGTCCTAACATAAACACCTAACACCTAACAGAATAAACCTTAAAACTCAACACTGCTTGTAGACCTACAAGTTAGCTTGTTTTAAGAACTAAATGCATAGAAAGGGAAACGCATTTGATGATCCATCCAGTGTGAGACCTTAAACCCGCCCACCAGGACTTCCCCCTTAGCCTCCCTCCCAGGCTGTGAGCTGTGGCTCATCTCTGAGTTGGCTCTGTGCAGGCAGTTACGTGCCTGAGACGCATCTCTGGTTACTTAGCCGGTGTTCAAAACATGTCCCGCACACCTGTCCCGTACTGACCTCTGGTGCTAGGCCCCCGGGCACAAAGGTGAGTAGTTCCAGTAGTCCGACTCCCGCCCTCATCTAGCGCACAGTCGAACAGCAGCAGCCCGTGTGCGAATGGACAAGGGTGAGATTGTGCAATAAGTGCACATAAATTGTGTATGTGTTTTACACACGTTGATAGCTGAATTCTGACTGTTAGAATCCTGGAACACGTTAGGGGAAGAGATTTTAGGAACGTCTGACTCAGTCCCCTTATTTCACAGCACTGACAACTAAGACCCTGAGAGGTTAGACAAGATTTTCTCAAAGCCACACTGCTACTGTGCGTGGGAGCCACCGGGCAGAGCCAAGACTAACACACAGCCTTCTGACTTGGTTTGGAGGTCTTCCCACTCACTCTGCCGGGCGCCCTTAGAATCCCCTTCAAGGTCTCCCTGGCCTAGTGCCTGGTATCCCGTGGGGCCCCGAGATGATTTTGTTGTAGCAGCGCCTCAAATCCAGCAGAGGGCGCAAACCCAACATTCAAGCCCACGGGCTGGTTGAGGTTCTCCCGCCTGTCATTTTGACAAAAAAGAAATACTCATTCCCAAATTGCACTGCGAAGGGTAAGAAGATATAACACCCTTTCTGTGCTCCCAGCCCACATAAGGAGAATCTCACCAGGACTTTTTAATAACCAAAGAGTTTCTGGTGTCTGGAAAACGCACAGGTTGGAACGGGGGCGGGTGGGGGGGTGGCATTTTTCCTGGTGGTCAATTGTTAGTTTGTTGAGAGACACTCCCCAAAGACAAAGCTCCTGAAACGGTGGTGTGCGAGTTATTGTGGGTGTCGTCGAGCACGGACGGAGCGTGTTTCCTAGAGAAAAGCGCAGTCCCCGTGCAGGTGGTCTTACACGTCTCAACCCCAGAAGACTCGCATGCAGCGTCTCAAGCCCTGCGTGCTGTTTGTCTCGTAGTACCTGAACACAGTCATCCCTTACGAGAAGAAAGCCTCGCCCCCGTCGGTGGAAGACCTCCAGATGCTGACAAACAGTGAGTTACTCTCGTTCTCAGTGAGGTCAGCTGCTCGTTTTTTCTGCACCCTGCCCTGTGAGTCGCGTCCTTGGCGCTTCAGGCCTGAGGTTTCCGGGAACGGTTCTAGATGGGTCAGGCTGTGCTCTGTATCATTGCCTCGCTTCCCGGTGGGCGGGGGCGGAGTTAAAGCACTCTGCAGCGTTGTCTCTCCCAGTTCCCGCAAGGGAAAAGATTTGCCAGAGGAAAATGAGCCTGTGAAAGAGGTTGGGGGCGGGGCTGTGCGGGGATGTTCTGGCTCAGCCAGCAGTTCTCCATGCTCGGCACTCTCTGCCTGTGCCTGTTGCCTCCTCCGCAGCTTGAGGACGCCCCTTAGTCTGAATTCGTGTCCCCAAAGCAGGGAACTCGGTCTGTGGGGCTGGCTGTATTTTTAACGAGAAGTAAAGTTTCTTGGGTGGGGGAAGGCTGATTGGAAAGGAGAGAGTCTGGTTTTCTTTTCAAAAAATGACTGCCTCCTCTCCTCCACTTTGGCTCTATTGTCAAATATTGATAAACATTCTGAGCTAAGAGAGAAAACAGTGTGTATAAAGAGCCTTTTGCAGGTAAAATCTCTTTATATACATCTAACACTACAACCCCCAGAGCGCCGGGTCGCATGGGGTGAGCCGTCAGTGTCAGCTTGATTCTTTTAGGAAGAGAACCCTAGGCTGAGATGTGACAGGCTCAGTGAGTCAGGAGCCGTCCATCTCCCTGGCAACCGTGCACTGCGTGAGTGGCGTGCCAGCCAGGCTGCCCAGCCCACGGCGGTGCTGCGGGGCGGCACTGCGCCGGCCGCAGGGGTTACCTCCGCGGATGGGAGAGGAGCTCCCTCTGCCCAGCTGAGGGAGACGGATGCGTACTGGGCCCCAGGGCTAAAGTGGACCAAACATTATCATTTTGATCAATTTGGAAAACTGAAGCAGGAGGTGCTGGCAAATAGAAATCCTGCTGACATCGATGGGTACTTCGTCCTTGAGACTCCGGAATTTTAAATTCAAAAGACGTTGGCCTCCTCTTGACTCATTTTAAACTCCTTTATTTGCATAAATATGCACTGAGATTTTTTTTAAAGGGAGCAGATAGAGATGAACTGACATTTATAGGTGTTTGTGTTTTCACAAGTAGTCAGCATTTGGAAAATAAATTGGGCAAATGATGAAGGCTGATATATGGAAAGTGTTCTATCATGGTCTTAACAAAAGGAAGAGCAATGTATTTATTGCTCCTCGTTACAGATCCTCGTTAAGGAATTCAGTGTGAAATCCTTTCATTTTAATTAAGAAGCAGTGGGTTGGTTGACATTTTTTAAGCTCACTTAAAAAATCGTAGCTAGAGTATATCAATCATTTAGAACATGGGGGAAATACTGCAAAGTGAACAAAGGAAAATAAATAATTCATTGTCCCCTGCACTGTGGTTACTATTTTGGTGTTTTTCAGCTATGATATTTTATGTCTTTTTCATGTCGTTGGGATTAAACTGGCTATAAAATTTTGTATCGTGATTTTAGTCACATCGGTTAACATTTGGTTAACATTTTTTTTATGGCTCTCTCTTCGATCATGTGGATATACCACATTCCCATATTTTATTCCCATGAAAAGAAGAAAAATGTCCTCTTTCCTGAATACCAATTCTCTTGTAGGTTATGAAAGCTTTTTTTTTTTTTTGCCAAACCCTTGTGTGGATTCGTGGACAACAGTCCTCTGTACCCTCCTCCTGAGCAGGCCAAGGACCAGCTGTGGGCACTGGGCAGCTCATACGGATTTTGGATTTTGGAGATCAACTCAGACACCTATTGGCTGAGTGCCCTGATTGTACTTTTACGGCTATCCTCTTGGTGCAGCATCTAGTCTGGCCCCTGCTCAGCTGCAAAGTACTTCCAGCCCCTTCAGTGGACAGGAATACATCTCTAAAGATACAGAAGAAACACACAAAAGAAGCCAGCACCCAGAGGGCCTCGAGTCCAGTCTCTTGTTCTGGACCTGGCCGCTGACTCCTGCCGGCGCCAGCTCTGTTCTTCATGCACTCCTGATTTCTAGGGTCACGTTTCACGACCCTGCCCTGGAACTGCGCAGGGTCGTCCAGGAAGAGCAAGGGCGTGGACGTGGGTTGGGCGCCGGCCTCTATGGTCAGGGCTGCCTCTGCACCCTGGTGAGCCGGGCCTGCTGCCCTTTGCTGTTTCCTCCGCTGGCAAACAGCAGCACCTGCTCACTGAAAAGGGCCAGACACTGTGGACACATCATGGAGAAAGGAGCGTCCCCTGTGGCCTCGCTCTCAGAGATAACCCTTTTAACGGTTTCATGGACGTTCTTCCAGATTTTTTATGAATATTAGCATTTATTTAAAAGTTCTTTCTTCACTGTTAAGTATGTCTTTTACATATAGATCTTTCTCATTTTTCATACACCTATATAAGACTACATGGGCCCTGGCTGGTGTGGCTCAGTGGATTGAGCACCGACCTGCGAACCCAAGGGTTGCTGGTTCAATTCCCAGGCAGGGTACATGCCTGGGTTGTGGCCTAGGTCCCTAGTCGGGGTCCCACGAGAGGCAACCATACATTGATATTTCTCTCCCTCTCTTTCTCTCTCCCGTCCCCTCTGTCTAAAAATAAATAAATAAAATCTTTAAAAAAAGACTATGTGGGATAGAGTTTATGCAAGGAATCATCGATGAAGAAATCCATTGGTAGACCCCCTCCTCACCCTCCTTTTTGACGTTATAAACAAGGCCCAGCCACCTCCTTAAAGGATTTTCTGTAAGGTGACTTCTACAAGGTGAATTACAAGGATGAGAAGATGCTGCCTAGTTTAATAACAGAAAAAGCTATTTTAAAAACTTTTACAAAAAGCCTTTGGGCTGCAATAACACCTCATCGCGTGCTGCGTGTGGAGCCCTGTCCCGCTCCAATAAGAAGTCTGCACACTCCTCGGGGTTCACCGGGTCTTGCATCTCCACAGATCCTAGCGCCGTACCAGGCACGAAATAGAAAGTAAATATTTGTCAGATGAAACTCGTTCGTTATTAATAAATTGGAGGTGAGGGAGTTTTCTGATGACGGGTTTATATGAACAGAATGTCTCTAGAGACAGTTTCATTGGTTATTCCGTGATGCATTCCCACATTTACATTGACTGCATCTGAAAGCTGATTCTTTTAAAAAAATGTTTTGTTTATTTATTTTTATGACTATTAAAGGCATACACTTAGGAGATGATGTGGAAATTATAGAGAAGCAAAATAATAAAAAATAAAAGTGAAAAGGTAAAAGATAGAAAAGAAAAGGCAGTCACCGCCACTCTGACTCTGGTGGGTCCTCCACCACCGCGGTGGATGCTGACTCTCGGCAGACGGCTCTGCACTTGCGCTCAATGCTCAGCTGGTGTCTGGTCTCCTCGCACGGTTTCTCACGCACATCGGGTTGGCGGGTTGTTTGGCCCTAGACATGAGCTTTATGCCTTGATGGTACCCTGGCTCATCTGTCTCTCTCCTTCCCTAGTTCTCTTTGCCATGAAGGAAGATAATGAAAAGGTGCCAACTTTGCTAACGGACTATATTTTAAAAGGTAAGAGTGGCCCATTCCTGGATGGTGTGGCTCAGTTGCTTGAGTGTCATCCACAAAGTGAAAGGTTGCAGGTTCGATTCCCGGTCAGGAAACCTGCTTTGGCCGTAGGGCTGGTTCCCGGTTGGGCTGCATTTGAGAGGCAACCGATGGATGTTTCTCTCATGCATTGATGTTTCTCTCCCTCTCTTTCTCCCTCCCTTCCCCCTCTCTAAAAACAAATAAATAACATCTTACAAAATAAAAAAAAAGAGAGAGGGAGAAGCCCAGCCCTCCGGGACCAGAAGTGGTCCTCTGGGCTCTGCCTCCAGGACTCCTGCTGGAAGTGTGGACACTGCCCTGCCCCCTCCCCACACTAGGCAGGGCCGGGGAGGGGAAGGGGACAAGGGTGAGGTCCTCGAGGTCAGGGGGTTTGCCTTGGGGTGTTGCTTGGAGGCCTGAGAAGAAGATTCCATTGCTCCCAAGTCATCAGAGTGACTGTTCAGGAAAAGTGGCCAAACCGACAAAAGGCTTATTGTGACATTTCTGTGGAGTTGGGCTCTTCCGTTGGGAGAAACAAAGCCCGAGGAAGCTATTGACAGTGTTCAGCTGCGTAAAGGCAACAAACGCGAGTCACCATGAGCTACCTCTTTTCATGAATGTTTCTTGTTTTATTTTGTATGTATTCAACATCGATGAAAGCAGGGTGAGTGACATAAAGAACTTTTAGGTACTCAACATCCTGCTTTAACAATTATTAACGCATTGTCAATTGTGTTTCATTAATAGCCCTTTCTAACTTCGCCCTTCCAATGATTTTCAAGCAAACCCTAATCCTATTTTCCATACATGCATATTTCAGAATATATTTCTAAGACATAAGGATTCTTGAAAAACATATCCACAATCGTATCACAACTAGGCAAATAAAACATTTCTCAGTATCATTGACTATCCAATAATGTTCAGATTTCCTTATAAAAGTTTTTCCAGTTTGTGTGACTCAGGATGCAGTGAAGGTCTGCGTTGCAACTGGATCTGTCTGTTGGTCTGTTTTAACACAGGGTGTAGGCTCCCCTTTCCTGCCTCTCTCTCAGTCCTTATTTTTTTCTTGGAGTAAGCAAGTTGTTTGCCCCTAGATTTTCATCATTCTGGCCTTTGCTAGCTGGTTTAATTTAAGATGTTCTTCCATCTTTTGTACTTCCTGTTCATCGGTAGAGCTAGAAGCTTGATCAGATTCAGCCGAAATTTTTTGATAAGCGCTGTGTCATTCACGATTGTGAACTTCCATTAAGAGACACACACATGCTCTCCGGTTTTCTTCCTTTTCGTAGTGTTGATACCTGTGTTAGCAGTCTGCCCCGCTGCTAAAACAAAATACCACTGCCTAGCTTAAACCACAGATATTCATTTTCTCACATTCTGGAGGCTAGACACCCATGATGATAGTGCCAGCAAATTTGGTTGCTAGCGAAGGCTCTCATCATGACTTGTGGAACGTGGTCTTTCCTTCTGTGCTTGAGGGAGAGAGAGAGAGAGAGGTAGCGAGAGAGAGCTTCTGTCTCTTCTTATAAGGACACTAGTCCTATCAGATCAGAGCGCCACCCTTATGACCTTACTTAACCTTCCTTTTTCAGCAGCTCCATTTCCAAGAACAGCTGTCCCGGGGGGTTAGGACTTTAGCATATGGACTTTGGAGAGACACAAACCTTCAGTCCTTAACAGTATCCACCGACGGTCAGTCGTTGTGAAGATCCTTTGCTGGACCAGTTTTTGCTCTGCACGCACGCAACTCTGGGCTCGGTTTCAGAAGGCTGTGGGCCCCCGCTATGAACCTCTGAACTATATTGTTTCCATAAGGATCAGAGAGATTAATCTTAACTTTCTGCAGGAGGGATTTAGGCTAAACATTGGGAAGAACTTCTGACTCTTAAAGGTTTTAAAAGAGCAGCAAATTTCTCAAAGGACATTTTCAAAGGAGGTTTATAGAAATGGGTTCTGTAAGTCTGGGAACCTGAGGGCTGGACTTTTCCCCACGTGAGCCACTGAAATGTCAGTGAATTTATAAAACTAGTTAACATTTACTGGGCCCCTTCTACTTGCCTCTGAACAAGCCTTCGGGGTAGGCGAAGGCACAGTCTGTTGTGTACATGAAGAAACTGGTAAGAGAGGCGAAGTCATTCCCCTGAGGTCGTGGAATTAGAACCAGCGGATCCAGGCAGAGGGTCACCGAAGACTACACCCTCATTACACCAAACAGCCGCCCATCATCAACTCCTGCTGCTTCTGCAAGAAAGACCCGTGACTGCAATTATTTCTGATTCTAAGGGTGCGGCTCTCTGCTGAGCATGCCGGTGGCAAGCTGGTTTGACCCCTCTCAGCCAGGGCCACTGTGCCTTGACCTCTGTCTTCTCTTCTTTTTCCAGTGCTCTGCCCTACCTAACCTCGACCCTGGGAGCAGCCTTGCCGCGGAGGTCACTGAGCAAGAGTCATTCCATCACAGGGACTGCATGACGCCACGTAACCTCCGGCGTGTATTCAAACGTGTAGAGCTTAACCTGGATTAAACACGAGCAAACGCGCGGGTCCTTTGCTGTTGTTGGCTTCTAGTCCTAGTAACCATTGGATGCATGACAAGGGGCAGGGCTGGGGACGACTCGGCCTGCCCTCCGCCTGTGTGGGGGGAGGCAGACGCCCTTACCACTCCTTATGTAGTTTGGCTCCAGCCCCCCAAAACAGCTGACACTTTAACACTAATTTTGAAATAAACCTTCATTTAATTAATATTCTTCATGTGCTTTGGAGTGTGATGTCCGGTGGCCCCGTTACCAACTCTCCAGAGAACGGTTCCCTTGTGTGATGGCCCGCGTCTGCGGTGGCTACGTAGTGTCTGGGGACAGGAGCATACCGTTGTGGCCTCGATGGGGCTGCACGTGGCAGAGGCAAAGGAAGGGGCCATCCCCAGGCTCAGAGACCTTATGCCTTGGCAACCATAGAGGGAGCTGCAGGGTGTGTGGTGGGAACTTCTGGCTGGAGAGGCTGTCCAGCGGTGGGGAGGTTGTAAAGTGAGCAGATAGAACGGGAGCTCAAGAAGCAGTCAGGCAGCTGCACCCCTCCTGGTGAGATGGCCAGCCTGGCTCCCGGAGGTCCCCCACAGCCCCTCCCCAGGGACCTGGAGGCTCGGGGGGTGGGAGGGAGGCAGCTCTGTGAGCTCTTTGAATGTGTGGGACTTCTCCTGCTCTCCTGCCTGCCCCCAACGACCCCTGGGAATTGTATCCCATGACCGTGCATACCCAGCCCTGCCCTTCATGCCAACCTGGGGTTCCAGCAGCTGTGACCCTTGCGTGCTGTCTCCAGCATCGGTGCTGGGCAGCTGTCTTCCTTCTCCGGCTGGAATGATAACAATCTTGCCAGTTGCCACAGCTTTATCTTAAACAAAAACCTTCATCCAGCACTTGCTAGGCGCCTGCCGCTGGCCTGAGCATTCTCCACACATGGCCTCACATCACAGCAACCGCGTGTGGTAGGTGAGTGCCGCTCTGCCCTGATGTCAGAGACGACCATGCTGAGCAGCAGAGCTGCCAGACTGGCGTTCCGTCTCTTACCCCATTAGGCCTCCACTCACGTGTAGGAGCTCAGTGTTTGTTGAATGAAGGGTGGCGACTTCACAGGAGGCCACCTATCCACATGGGTGACAATAGAAGGCATCCTTGGTGCCTGCCTCTCACTTTCTGGGCCTCACCTGGGGGGAGGGGGACTTATCCTACTTGGGGCACTGCCCCAGTGCCTGCAGCTCCGATTTGGGCACCTACATGGAGCAGAATGTGGGTGTAGACAGAGCTCCGGCCATCACAGAAGAGAAGCAAATAGGTACCTGTGCACATTCTCAGGAGTCAGTGAATGGATGGGAGTTCCAGGCTTTGATGCTGGGGTGACTTCGGCTCTGCATTCATTGGTGCTCTGGCCAAGAGTGCAGGGGGTCACTGGCACTGGGTGGCCCTGAGCAAGTTAACACTGCCAGTGGCGGGGTTCACCAGTCTCAGCAAAACGGAAGCACCGACGGCCTGCCTTGGGTCCGTCAGATCTGGGTCAGCCCCTCCTTTCCCAGTTTATCTTGCTGGTAGGCGTCCGAAGCAGCACAGGCCAGTTCATCAAAGCTGCTGGCAGTTAAACATACATCTCATGTGGCAGGCAGGCACTCCCCGCTGGGAAGGGGTGTGTCCAGGAGGGAAGCCTTGGCTCCTTTTCTCCTTTCATCCATGCGGGCGCTGAGAGGGAATAGTAAACCAATTTCTCCTGGGTTTTCTGCACTGCCCTTCCCTCTGGCTTTGCTAGTCAAAGTGTAAACGCAAAACCCCAAGCCCTACCTCAGACCTACTGAGTCAGAGGCTGCACTGTGATAAAGTCTGCAGGCAGCTGGTGTTTGGGTTACGTCATCGTGGAGAAGCTGGCCTCTAGGTCTTCAGTGTTGCTGCAGCCCCGGCTCCGGGACGTAGAACCTGAGCAAAGCAGTAGTGTGAGTGCAAGCAGTGGTGAATGCCGCTCTTTCCCCCAGTTTCCTCTCTCCTGCTTTAGGACCCGAGGTCTTGATGGCAGAACTCAAGGCCAATCTTAGAGGTCCACACTCAGCAAGGAGTCCTGGAGAGTGAGCTCTGCAGGGTGGTCTCCTAGGTAGGGAAGAGGGTGGTCTGGACCTTGGGTTCTTTTTCTTAAATTATTTTTTTAGAGAAGGGCAAGGAGGGAGAAAGAGAAGGAGAGAAATATCAATATGTGGTTGCTTCTCACACTCCCCCTCCAGCCTGGCCCATAACCAAGGAATGTGCCCTGACTGGGAATCGAACTGGTGACCCTTAGATTTGCAGGCCGGCACTCACTCCACTGAGCTATACCAGCCAGGGCTGGTCCATGGGTTCTTTAACTGAGGTGTGTTCCCATCAATGAAAGGCCTTGAGGAGGATTTGGCCAAGCCTAATTGCTTCAGGTCCTAGGAGCGGCAGCTCCACTGCAGGGCCGGGCAGCGGCCTTCGCCAGGGCCGAGCTGAGAGGATCCCATCGGATCTGATCTGGGGAGGCCACGTCATTCTCCAGCTGGGTTCTCCCCACACTCCCTGTCCTTGCATTTCTGTTTCAGGATGGGAGACACAGGGGATATCTCAGAAAGGAAACCCCAAAGGAAGGGTGTTGTGGCCCTGATGCTGGTGAGATAAAATGGATTTTAAAAATTAAATCAACATTTTTCCTGCTCGCTGGAATCACGTCCGTAGCAGGAGCATCGTCCACTCGTGGCCAGGCAGGAAGGAGAGATGGAGGAGACCAGTGAGAAGGACGACCCATCAGCTGTGTTGGGATGAACAGTAAACCGAGCCCTAACGGACATCAGAGAGTCTATTCGGTGGCCACCTGGGGGCACTCACCGTGTCCTGGGTAGGGGCTCCTGCCACGGGGGCGGGGGGGGGGGGTGTCTCAACAAAGGTGTAAGCAGGGAGCCCAGTGCCCCCTTTCCTTGTGCTTGATTTCCACGGAAGGCAGGAGAGGTGGCTGTCCTCACCCAGCCAGCCTCCGTGATTAGTATGCGTGGAGAGTAATTAACTGCTGCTCTTGGAGAAAAGACGCTCCCGTTCTTGATGGCGCCTGATTATTTATTTTCTTGGGAGGGTGAGAGCATGTTAGGATTTCTGTCTGAGCCTGAGCCTTGCCCTCCTCCTCCCTTCGCCAGAGAGGGGAAGCACAGGCCACTCCACAGACCAGGACGGTGCTGTGGCTCCACATTAATGCCTTTCTTTTGAAAGAACAATGAGCCACCTTAGCCCACAGCTCAGCAGCTCCACACCGCGCCCAAGCCCTCATGCATATTCATCTCACTTTAAAGAGCACAGCATGGAATATGCAAATTAGTCAGGCAGGAGCTGGTTGGCATTTTGATAATAGCTTTGTCTGAAAAACCCCAGAGACATATGCACCTCTAGTTCCTCTCCCTCTCTCTCTCCTTCCCTCCCTCCCTTTCTCTTTCCTTCTCTCTCTTTCCTCTACCTTGTGTCCCCATCCCCATTCTCGCCTCGGCTCTCAACCTGCCAGAGAAGAGGGCAGCGAATCGCAGAGCCAGAGAGGCAAATCAGGGAAAGGGCCAGGTGTCTGCATTCCGGTCTGCTGTGTTTCCACTGTATCATCTAGCGCCTCCTCCTCGAACAGACCAGACGTGTCTTGCTTTTCCCCTTCCTGCGGTGGGACCCAGTCTGACAGCGCCCCTGGCCCTGGCCTGTCCTCAGCTCTCAGCAGGCCCCCTCCCCCTTCGTCTGGGCTCCCATTTGCTCTCTCTCTCCCAGACAGGAGCTCCCTTCCCTTTGTTCTTCCTTCATCTTCCAACCTGGTTTTCCCCTACCCTCAGCATTCAAGCCCCAAAACCAGGCCTTGCCCTCTGACAGGCTGGAAGGGGTCACCTGCACAGGCCAAGGGCTCGGAGGGCTCGGAGGTCAGCTGTCGCCCCTGACCTCATGCCTCAATCTAACACGTGACCGTTAGCAACCGTGCAGTGGACCTCCTGTTGCCCCCTCTGCACCCGGGTCTTCCGACAGTCCGCAGAGGCCTCTCCCCCAGACCAGCTCCTCCTCGAGCAGCACGCAGAGCCACTTCTTCGGCTCAGGGGACCTAGGCCCTTTCCCCTCCCGCCAAATGTAGACAGCTCGAGTTGGGAACAAGTGGGCTGTGGGGCGGGGCGGGGCGGGGCGGGGCGGGGCGGGGCAGGGAGGATGCTGGGAGAAGCCGGCTAAGGTTTGGATCCGCGTCCCTGAGAGCTGTTTCATCTGGGACCTGAGCGGAGAAGAGCTAGCGCCAGTGCCGGGCTGCTGGCGGCTCTGCGGATTTCGGGAAGCGGGGGCTTCTCCCTTGGCTCCGAGGGCCAGCCCTGGTGAAGCCGAGGCTTAGGGAGACACGTTACCTTCCAGGGGGAGCGCGGGTTTGCCTTTGGGTTGAAACCCCAGCTCCACTATGTAGATAATCTATTCAATGTCTTCGAGCCCTAGGTACCTCATGTTGGACATGGGGACAGAAATATTAATAATAATACCAGCAAAGCATCCAGGGTTATTTGGAATAATCTACAGTATCTAGTGTATAGGCTATGTGCTCAATCCATTGTGACTTTTGTTTTTACTCGTGAACTCTGAAAAGCATAGAGAAAGGGCGGGCACTAAGGCCTCCTGAGCCTGGGGGATCTGATCGTCTTTTCAATTCGTTGGACACAGAACCTGAACTTAAAAACGAAATGACTCAAAATGACAGGGTGTGGCCTGTTCCCCTAAAATCAGCCCTATTCCTACCCTTCATTCTCACAACATCCTGCTCACTGGTCGTCCATGATACCTGGCACCTGCTGATTTTAGAGCTGGGGGCCTCGGGGGACCCTGGCCGAGGACACAAAGTGAAGAGGCAGGAGTCGTGCCATATTCAGGTTCATTTGTGCAAAGTGGTGGAGGAGTGAAGGTCAAATCCAAGTTTATTTTGTGCTTAGAGAAAAGATTCTATTTTCACTGGTGAGAAGACAGGTGGGGTGATGGAGGGGGAAGGACAGGCTGCCAGACACCCTCAGAGAAGCTGCAGGCGCTTCATGACCAGGCCACACAGGCGGGGCAGGAGGACCAACGCAAGAGGTTGGAGGACGGCGTCCCCCGTCTCCGGAAGTGCCGCTCCCTCGCAGTAAGCCAGCCTGGAAGACCACAGGTACACCGTCTGGAGCGTTTCTCCACCAACCGTGCATCTGCAGAAAGCAGAGCTCAGATCACTGGTGGAAGTCAGGGGGCTGGGTGGCTCTGGACAGCAGTTTGCTCTTTCTGCCCCGAGTGTGCTGGGCAGTAGAGGGAGCTGGCAGTTTATAGTGCTGAGGACAGGAGGCCTGCATGGCGTGGGCAGGTTGGGCTTACGGACCCTTGGTGACCTTTCCAGGACTGAGACATGATGTTTTCACCCCAGGCTCAGATTCTCACCTGCAGACACAGCTGGGAGGGGCCGCCCTGAGAGCATCAGGCGTTTCGGGCTCAGAGTGACTGCCCTGCAGACGCTTCTGAAATCACGCTTGACTGTCATTGCTGCTCAGCGTCACTGGAGGGCTTTTAAAGTGTACCTATATTGGTCCCACCCTCGGAGAGCCTGATTTAGTCAATGGGGAGGGGAACTGGGGCACCTGCCACTCCTGGAGCCTGCAGCGCAGGTCTTGAGGACTCCTGGGGCAGGAGCTGGGGGGCGACAAGGTGCCCCTGGGCCTGGAGGTGCCAGGGAGACTCCCTCAGGAGAGCGAAGTTATTTCATCGCCTTCCGACATGTGGACATACAGCAGCATCCAGTCCGAAGGGCGGCAAGGCGAGTGAAGTGGTCTGGCCAGGGGGCGGGGCTTGTTCAGGAGGAGGAGCAGCACCCCAGACGCAGCTGGGGAAGCGGCTGCACTGTCGTGGCCCACGGGGCTAGAGTTTTGCAGAGTATCAGTCAGCCGAAGGGGAGCTTAGCAGCCACATCCTCTGACCCCCTCAGTGTGCGAGTGAGGAACGAGTGCACAGATGGTCCCTGTGTGTCAGGGGAAGTTATTGGCAGCGTCGTGGCCGACTCCAGGGAAACCAGTGTTCTCCCTTTTCCTGCAGAAAAGCATGGGAGGCCCACGGGTGAATGGAGTCCAGGGTGTCCAGCCTTTTGGTGCCTCTGGGCTGCACTGGGAGGAGGAGGGTTGTCTAGGGCCACACGTTAAATGCACAAACACTGACAAAACTAAAAAAAATCTCATAATGTTTTAAGTAAATTTACGATTTTTTGTAACCACCCTGGGCTATGTGCGGCCCGCAGGCTGCAGGTTGGACACCCCTAGGCCATACATGATTTTGGTATGACAAAAATTCTGCAATACTGGGGGGACCACCCCCCCAAATTCACAAAACAACAGGTGGATGTGAGACGCGCGTACCTGAAGTGAGTTCTCTGAATAATGCCTGGGTGCAATAAGATGAACACAAATCTGAAATGAAAAGGTATAATGAGAAATACACAACTGAAGGGAATTGTCTTAAATGGCTGATTGTAATGAGATGAACATAAATCGCAAGGCTTGTAATGAAATGAAAAAAAAATCTTGCCTGATAATACTGGGTGTAATGTCTACACCTGAAATAAGTGGTCTCAGTGCATTGCGTGTAATGAGATGCATATCATTTTAAAGAGTGTAATGAGATGAAAAATAAATCAAGCACTTGTCTTAAATGGAAGCCGTACTAAGATGCACACACCTGAAGGGCATTGTCCTAAATGGGTTTGGTTTAATGAGATGCATTCCATTTGCAAAGGGGCTAAATGAGATTGGCTCAGAGAGAGGCTGAGAAATAGAGAAGCACAAGATACCTACACTTGGACGTGGTGTAATAAAATCTGCGTCGTCTGTGGGATGGAAAGAAGACGCCGAAGTGGAAGGGCACACAGAGTGTGATGGGATCGGCGTCCCTCTGCGGGTCCTCGGGGCCCCTCGGCCTGGGACGCTCCCCCGGGCTGAATTGTCCTCTGTCCCCTTCCGATGTCAGCCACGGAGTAGGCACCTGTGGATGCTGACTGAATGCATAACGGGCTCAGGGCACTACAGTTCATATAGCGAGAGGGAGTTAAAACAAGGAACTGCTACAGGCAACTGAAAACTGTTTTCTGAGGGCGATGCTTCTCGGAGTCTTCAGGCATCTTACCCAGAACCTGGGGAGAGACGGGCGTGGGGCCTAGCCTGCATTTATAATGAGTGACCTAGGTTGCTTTTTGTGCCGAGGCTCACCACGACCTGTAGAGGGCAGGCGGGCCGGTAACACCTGAGTGAAGATGTCTGAAAAGAGACACAGGTACACTTTGCAACTGGTACACCGTCCATTGCAAAAGTCTTTACTTCCACCAACAATATGTCATCTCTGTGGTTTTTTCCCCAAAGGCAGAGCCGTCTGCACCGTCTGTTTTCTTGATGGAGCAATGGGCAGACAGACATAGTTCCCTTCTTAAAAACAACCTCTCAGCCCTGGCCGGTGTGGCTCGGTGGGTGGGACATCATCCCAGAAAGTGACAGGTCACCGGCTCGATTCCCCGTCAGGGCACAGGCCTGGGTTGTGGGTTTGGTCCCCTGTTGGCAACTGATTGACGTTTTTCTTTTGCACTGCTGTTTCTCTCCTTCTCTTCCCCTCTCTCTAAAAATAAAGAAATAAACTTGTCAAAAAACACCATTCAGATATTGGAAAGGCAAAAAAGGGTGGGGGAGAGAAAGGGGAAGCATAACTAATCAATGAGCCAACCAATGAGGGCCAGCCTGATAATGGCGGGCTGCTGCCCCTCAGGTGCAGTGTGGGGGCCGCCTCCGTGGCCACCGCCACGAGGCCTGGAGGCCACGCCGGAAGGAGTGGCTGTGGCCTGACCATACCCAGCTGCACCTTCACATGAACAGACGTCCTGAGCCTCCCGAGTGCCTGATGTTTCAAGAGAAACCGGGAATCTGAATTTTTATGTGCAAGCTTTTAACTTTCAAACAAATTTGAAAACAATCTATGGTCCAAACAAAACACGTCTGCAAGCTGAATTTGGCCTGCAGTCCGTGTCTGACCTGAGAGCCTCCGGCTCCGCCCCTCGGAGTACTGAAGTCTGAGGTCACGTCTAGGACGAGATCTAATCTTAGCTGTTGGGGGACATCTGAGCACACGTCCAGTCTCAACCTTTTTTTTTTTAGAGGCGCTTTCCCTTTCTGAAAGAGGAATTTTATTTTATTTTTTAAAAGATTTTATGTATTTCTTTTTAGAGAGAAGAGAAGGGAAGGAAAAAGAGAGGGAGAGAACCATCAGTGTATAGTTGCCTCTTGTACACCCCCCACTGGGGACCTGGCCCACAACCCAGGCATGTGCCCTGACTGGGAATCGAACCAGCGACCCTTCAGTTTGTAGGCCCGCACAGTCCAGTGAGCTACACCAGCCAGGGGTTCAGTTTCAGTCTTGCACGAGAATGTAAACTCCTTAAAGGCAAGAGCTCTGTCTTTGTTGGATCACGACTGTGTCCTTGGTATCCAAAACTGCCTGGGACAGAATCCGAGCTCAGTCCACACTGAGTGAACGAGCCCACGCAGACGGCCATGTGACAGCGCCAGGGCCCGCATCCTGTCCTGTCCGAGGCAGTAGGAAGCACAGCTCTGGGGATCTGCTCCCTTGACCGGGAATCTCCCAACCTGAACCATCTGGGGTGGGTGCCGGGGCCAGCAGGTGGCCTGAAGAGTTCCCACGGCCCTGACATCAGGTCTCTCTGGGGGTGAAGGAACTCCCCCCACCCCGCACCTCTCTCCACGCACACTGTCCCGTCTCTCTTCCGTCCTCAGGGACGGCGGCACACCTCCTTGGGCTGGATGGGGTTTGGATTGTGCTCAGGGTTCCTGCCTCCTCTAACTCAACCGCCCACATCTCGAATGATTTAGGGAGCCTTTTTTTTTTTTCAGTTGGCAGCATGGCCGAGAGATGGCAGAACGTGGGAGAAAAACTCAGGAAGGGGCGGGGAAGGCCGGGGCAGACTGCTCTGTCGTTTCTTAGAACAGTGGTCCCCAAAGTGCGTTTTATGGAACACTCATGTAACTGAATAGATATGACTTGCCAAAAGGCAAATAAACCTGGGGAGCAGGTTAAACAAAGTTAAACAGGTTTCTTTCCTGCAGGACTGTTCAGAGGTGTTGCATAGTAATGTGCCTTTGGAAACTCCACTAGCAAAACATAATATCAGTCCATCCTAGACTCATTTGGCCATGGAATTTTTTTTTATAGCTTATCTTTTAACAGTGTATTCTCTGGAAAGCACTTTTTTGAGAGGCTGCCCTCTTCCTGGCTCTGGAAGTGAGGTTCTGAGGTCCCGCTGGCTGAATGTGGAGCCCTCCCGGTGTGATGGGAGAGGGGCGGCGTGGGGACTGGGCTCGGTGAGAGCAGTGATCCGTGGGGCCGCCACCAGCGTCGGAGCTGCTGCAGGCCCATTTTTTCCCGTGTAACCAGTCCCTTCCCCATCTTACTCAGCCTGGCTCTGGGTGTTCACGGGTGAGGGCGAACTCTGCGGCCTTTGCAAATATGAGCAAGGAACTCCTCCTCCTGCTCCCCAGTGAAGCTCTGGACACCTCGGCAGCAATGCAACGGTGCAGGGGAAGGGCACCTCTAGGCTGAAGGTTAGGAGAAAGCCTGCCTCTCACCCACCTGGAGAGATCAGAGATAAGCTGCCCCCCGAGTTTCATGTTGCTCCAGGGAGTTCAGTGTGGACTCTGGGTTTCAAGGGTAGGCTCCCATCTGGAGGCAGAGCCAGGGTCGAATGTGGTGGTCAGAACTTGCTCTCGGATAGGGCGAGGTGGGCATGTGAGGGCAGGGGCGCAGCGGTGGCACCAGCGTCAGTGAGGAAAACCCTCGGAGCCCAGGATGGAGAGGGGACAGCAAAGCCTTCGGAGGGAGGTGGAGGCTGGTGGAAGAGAGAACCCGAGTTCCGAGCTCCCCGCCGCCCAGGGGAAGGTGGTCGGGCGTGGGCAACACAGAGCTCCCTCCAGGCTTCTCTCCCCTCCCCCTGCCTCCGAGCTAGACACACGCAGTGAGAGCGCCAGACCTGGTGGTCTCCCTCCTGAGGTCACCAGAGAGCCCTCTGCCTGTCCACGTAGGTATCAGTTCAACGCAGGGCAAGCGGAGGGCTCCTCTGGCCCACAGTCCCATTAACCGCAGACAGAGAAGCACGCAGCGCAGTCACGGTAGGTAATGAGATTTACTGGAAACTTCTCAGCCACATTCAGCACTGGTTTGGTGGATACATCAGGAGGTTGCATAACATGAGGCAGGCGGAGGGGCTGGGAGGAGGCGTGGGCACGTGTGTGCAGGCGCTGGGCCGGGGTGCGGTGCCCGTCCAGGGTGGTCAGTGGGTGTGCGCGTGTCAGTGCATGCGTGTGTGCGTGTGTGTGTGTGTGTGTGTGTGACCAAGAAAAACCAACCAGAAAAGGAAGTGTATTTTGTCCCACTGCACGGTGCCAAAAAGCTAGACTCTCTCCTACCTGTGGCATCAAAAGGGAGTAAAAAATGATCGAATCGTCAAGATTATAAATAAGGTTATTTGTTTTTCAAAAATCCCTATTAAAACATTAAATATCAGCTCTTTTGGGGAAGAAATACATTCATTTTAGGGAGACCTCAGGAAAGCGGCCGTCCTTCGGCTCCACCCCAGCCAGGTGGGGGAGGGGGAGCCCCCAGAGGGCCCTGAGGGTCCCCCACGCTGAGCCAGGCGGCCACGCACGTTCTGCCACAGAAGACGGCCGACGAACAGTGTACGAATGAAACCGCAAGTCCGTTAAACTAAACTCAATGGGAAACAGGTGTGTGGTCGGTCCTGCCTTCACAGCCACTGGGGTGAGGGGTGGGGTGGGGAGGGGGTTGCCAGCCGTGGGGACCAGAGGTTGGGGTGGAGGGTGTGTGTCAGGGCAGACGGTGGAGAGCCTCCTCCCTGCGGGAGCCCCAGGGCCCCAGGGCCGAGTGTGACGGTGGGGTGCAGTTAGGGAGACAGGTGGGGGCACCATTTGGCTCTTAGGGGCCATTTCCGTGGCCCCCCACACACTTTGGAAATTGACGGGAGGAGGTATGTAGCACCTTCTCCAACCCCTGGCTTTTCACTGGGCTGGATGCTCCCCTCCAATGTTTCTTCTGCCTCCTTCGAAGGAGAGGACGAGGAAGAGAGGTGGCGACCGCTGAAGCGAGCCTGGAGCAGAGGGCCGAGGGTTCCAAGCAACCCTGGCCCCACCCTCTCTGATGGTCTGTGGGGGGAGGGTGGGCCAGAAGAGGAGCCCCACCTGAGGGCTGGAGCATCTGGGACAAGACACCACTGTCCTGTCGTCACAGGAGCTCAGTTCCGGGAACGCCTGGGGACAGCTGCACTCCCCAAAGTCACTCTGATGAGGCTCCTGGCCCGGGTCCTGCTGCCTCCGTGGGTCCTGGAGCCAAACCAGGTAAAGGGACTCCTCTTAATCTCCTACAATTTGAGCTCACCACCTTACTGTTTGTTTCCAGGAGAGAGGGAGGGAGGGGGGAGGGAGAAAGAGCAGTCGGCTCTGGTGGCTCCATCCCCCCCTCCCAAGTCCATGGTTGCCTGAGCCGGGAGACGGGGCCTCGGAAGAAGGAGCTGGAGCCCCGCGGAATCTGGGCCTCTCTCTGATCTGCACACGTGATGCTTCAGGCCTTGCCAGTCCTCCAGCCACCGGCTCGATGTTCGGGCTCCCTCCTGCCCTTGAACGTCTCTCAGAGGAGCTGAGAACCTGTGGGGGGCGTGGAACCCCAACCCCCTTGTCTCTGCCTCTTCTCCTAAGTGTGTCCCCTGGCAAAGGCTGTCTGCGAACAGCACTGGTCCGCCTCACAGCGCAGGGCTTGTAAACGATGCAAGTCCTTCCGTCGGGGCCCCCAGGGGCCATCCGCCCTGGAGCTTTGATGAATCCAGATCTCACTCCTGCCTTTCCTCGCGGGTGGCTGGACCAGCCCCACCAAACCAAGTCCTCCGCGGCTCTAGGGGAGCAGGGCTGGGGTACCATGGAAGCTCGGGGGTTGGGAAGGAGCAGGTGTCTCCTCTGCATTTTTTCAAGCTACTGATTTTGGGAAGCTGGGGCCCAGCTTCCTCGGTCTGCCTGCCTACGTCCCCTTCCCCCCCACCCTGAAACCCTCCTGGCGACACTCCGCTCCTGCCGGGCCATCAGCGCCATCTGGGCCGCCAACTACTCCAGGGGGTCACTGTGTTCCAAGCCCAGGTCACCGACATTTGTCGTTTGAAGCTCGTCAGCCTCCTCCTCCAGTTCCTCTTCCTCTTCCTCTTCCATCTCGTCCTCGTCCTCCTCTTCCGTCCCGTCCAACGAGTCCTCGTGTGCGGCCATCATCGCCTGCTGCATGGCCATGGTGGCATTGTCCGAGGACAGGGACTGCAGGTTGTCCAGGCTGATGGAGCCTGTGCGAGAGAAGAGGGCGGGGTCAGGCCTGGCAGCCTCAGAGGCAGAGAGTTCAGCAGGCTGGCTGGCTCCCCCAGTGCTGAGTTGGACAAGTCCCGGTGTGAAGCCACCGTCCTTGAACTTGTCGGCCCCTCCCGGCCCATCCCGAGCAGCAGCACGCCTAGTCACCACCAGCGAGCCTCTTCTCTGCAAATGTGTTACATGCTTTTGACTTTCTAACAATCCTGCAGGGGAGGTGTCATTATCCCTTCCAAAGAGGAGGGAACGGGGCCTCAGACAGTGAAGTCACTCGCTCACGGCGGCAGTCAGGCGTGAGAGAGCTGGCATTCTCTCCCTGGCTGGTCTGGCTCAGAGCCTGGTTCTTCCACTGCACCTCACAGGACAATTGCCCGTCATGTAGGAACCGCCTTGCAACCGCGTGAAGGCGTGTGTACGTGAAGGTGTGTACACACACACACGCACACCGGCACGCCCCCTCCCACATAGCTGTCTGCATGTGCTGTGCCGTGGTGTACGGCTCCGCGTCATCCACTGTGCACCGGGCGACCGGCAGTTAGAACAGTGCACGGGAAGGTGAGAGGGGGCGAGGCCCTTCCCGGCCTCTGTTCACAAACCGGCTGCCTGTCCGGTGTTTATGGACGGCACTCGGGAAGCTATGCAGACACCGCCTGGCCCTGAGCAACTGAGGGTGGGTGTGGGAGTGGGGGTGGGGCTCTGTGGAGCCGTCATGGGCTCAGATGACCAAGAACTCCCACTGGTTCTCATGGGACTGCTTCTGGCTTATTAAAATATCTGCGCAAACACCCCCTTCTTTCTGGCTTACACTCTTTGACGGGGACCAGGGAGGGACAGCTGTTGTGACAGAGGGGCCCCTGCCTCTCCAGCAAGTAGAGGTTCAGCCCTCGGATCTTTGCACGGCTGTCCTGAAGGACTTCCAGGGGCCTCCCGCCCACCAGCCCCCAGGCTGGAGCCCACCAGCCCCAGGCCTTACCATCGGGGCTCGTCCCTGGGGCGCCGCCCTGCTGCTGCAGCACCCCCGCAGCGATGGAGTTGGGCCAGAATCTTTGGGTGGGCCGGTGCTGCGACTTGATCTTCTTGGCTTTAGGGGCAGGGTCGGGGTTGCTGGCGTCCAGCATGGGCTGCAGGATGCGCCTCCGGGCGTTGATGAACCTGCCCGGGGTGAGGGTGGACACCTGGTTAGTCCTCCTGGGTGGTGGGTGGCAGCAGGTATGTGTGCACGTGTGTGCGTGTGTGCGTGTGTGCAGAGAGGGCTGAGCTGCTTCCAGACTCTCAACAGCTGATCTGCTGTGCAGAACAGACTGGGGTCTGATCTGGGGGGGCGGAAGCCCAGCTGGGAAAGGGCCCCAGGCACTGAGGAGTTCAAGGAATCACTCGGTGAGCACGAAGCAGCACAGGACAAATGCATGAGAACAGTCGGACATCTGTACTCGAGACCCGTCAGGGTCGAGCCTAGGAAGGGACAGCCCCCTTTGTCAAAGGCACCACCTCCTGGTTTCCCTGCAGACGGCCGAGGGCTCAGATCAGGGAGCCAGCCTTTGGGCGTACTCCCCTCCAGCCAGAGCCCTCCCTCTCAGATTCCTAGGACAACCCCACCAGACACAGAGAGGGGTAACTGAGATCCCTGGCAGGTCAGAGAGGCCGATTCTGCCTCTTCCTTCCCACTCCCACCTCTGCAGATGTTCTGGTCTGCGGTTATTAGCTCACGAAGTGAGAGGGTAGACCAGGGGTTTTCTATCCAGCGATGTTCCTGGCACTGCTTCCCAGCAGAGGGCGCTGAGAAGCTGCAGATGGAGCCACAGGGGCCTCTGTGGATCCCGGCCTGTTGCTTCCAGTCCAAACCCCGGGACTGGCGCGGAGCTGGCTGCAACTGAGGCGGGACTGGGCACTCTGGTCTCTCCTTCCTGCTGTGCGTTCCCCTGCCAAGCAAGTGCCCCCGCCCCCCCAAGGATCTGCGAGCCTCTGGGCGGGCGATGCTAACTCACCAGTTATTGACTTGCAAGAGGGTGAGGTTCGTCTGGGCTGCGATCTGCCTCTTCTCATCCTCCGTGGGGTAGGGGTGCTGAAATGAGAGGGGGAAGGCCAATGTGGGGGGACACGTGGTGACCAGGCCCCCTCAGGGACCATGCCCACCTACAGGCACTACCTGGGCGAGGCAGCCCTCGTGGTTTGGAAGCCCAAACTGGGGAAAGTGGAATGTTCATTCCCCTGAACAGTGGGCCGATGGCTTGGGGAGCGGCTGCCCCTGCCTCTGGCGCCACAGTCAGGGGGGCAGAACTCTCAGTGCGGCCCCCCATCGTGGGACCAGGGCGGCTTCCCCGTGGGTAGATACTGATTGCCTCCAAGGCACTTTCCACCCTTCGCTCCCGGTCCTCTCCCCACACCCACCCCGGCAGGCTGGGCAGGCCGTGCTAGGGTGGGGACTCGAGGTGGCACCGAACACCCACAGGACTCTCAGCAGGTGGCAACCGGGGTGAAACAGATCAATTCGACGCGAATGAACCGACATGTACTGTGTGTCTACTGTGTGCCCAGGCTTACGCCAAGCATCCTGGGAAGCAGGAGACACAGAGGACGATCCGCACCGCCCGTGTAACACCGACAACAGTAAGCCGTTCTCCTGCTCTCACTCTCGTGTAACCGAGCGCACCGCTGGCACTCCGTGAGGTGGCCGGTTGGGCGGCGTCACCCCTGCTTCGCTGAGGCGGAAACTGAGGGCCTCGCCCGTGTTCCCTGCGCAGTGGCCCTGGGTCTGGAGCTCGGCTCCTCGGATTCGAGTCCAGGTCTCCCCTCCATCGCGTCCTGATGCCACTTGATTAGACTGGGCCGTGGCGGGCTGGGGGTGAGTGCGGGAGCGGTGAGGGTCGGTGAGGGTCCGCCACGGTCCCCAGGGCCCCCCAGTCCGAGCACCAACGAACGACACGTGTGTCTCTCTCGGAGACTGTGGCAGAGACCACGTCCTCTCGCCTCGTCGTCCGCGTGCGGTGACGCACGATGGCTGCCAAGTGCGAGAACGTGGAGACAGAGCAGTGGGGGCTGTGGTGTGGGTCAGGAGCAACCTGCGAGCTTGGGGGGAGATGAGTGTTGGCCAGAGGGTAGGGAAGGCTGAACAGGCCACATTAAACAATGGGGGAGTTTTGAGGGGCAGTGGGAAGGGGTCCCGTCCAGCGACCCGGGGTGCAGAGCCACGTGGTGACTGGGTCTCTGTATCTTTTCAGGCCCCTGCACAGCACTGACCCTGGGAGGCACGCGGTGCAGGGGTGACTGGTGTTTGAACGGGTCAGAGCGCTGCCCTGGAAGCCGGCGGGGATTGGGGGGCTCCTGGGCCGAGGGCGACGTCATCCTTGGCCGGGATTATGCCTCAAGGTTGAGGTGGTGTGAAAGCGGTGTTCAGGCTTCCCAAAGTCCCGAGGGCTGGGCCGACGACTCCAGCTGCATCCGACGACCAGGGAGCTCTCAGGCACGTCTGCACCCCAGAGTCCTCTAATGATCAAATGAAATTACACTTGCAGAGTGCTCGGTAAGAGGTGGTTCTTCACATTATTAGTACTGGCTGGTGTCAGCAAGGTGTGTAAAGCTCTCCGAGGAGCGTCTGAGATCAACAGTCCTGGGGGGGCCTCATTATCATGACAACGGCAGCCTCGACACCCCGCCTGGACGAATTGGAATCAGGCATTGTTTAATTCCCACCTCTGGTTCCACTGCCCAGCCAGGACGCAGGCCCTGTGAGCCATACAACATTAAGATGCTAACAAGGAGGAAAGCACATCTGTGTTGAGAAGCTGGTTTCATCCTGATCGGGAGGAAGCTGGGGGCTGGAGGAGGCTGCGGGGCTCCAAGGGGCAGAGGAGCAGGGGCTCTGTGTGTCCAGACACCCTCTGGGGAGGGGTGGTGCCCCACCCTGCCACCTGCTCCTTGGAGGTCCCATCCCCCTTACCGAGGGGCCAGCTGCCTTCCTGACCACAGCCAGCCGGTCTGAGAACACAGCTCTCAGACTTTCTAGCTCTCTTGGGCCCCACGAGGCCCTCTCATGCCTTCATGCCTTTGCACATGCTGTTCCCTTCGCTGGAATGCCCTTCCCCCTCTTTCCCTGCATGAGTGAATCTGTCACAGATTGGGTCCTCCTGAGGCCTTTCCCAACTCCCTGGGGCAAAGTTAGTCTCTGCTGAACTTGAACGACTGCATTTAGTGGTCAGAGTAGCAGTAGGCGATAACAGGTGTCTCCCCCACCATCCCGGGAGTTGATCCCAGGCAGGGGCCCAGTCTTATCAGATGTTGTGTCTCCAGTGTCCAGACCAGCAAGAGGCAGAGCAGATGTTCAATGTCCGTGTGTAGGGGGGTGCAGCCAGGGGGTCCCCAAAAGGAGGATTTGTAATGGAGTTCAGAACTCAAGGAGTCCAGGAAATATTGGAAAGACATATAGGATGTCCTCACCCTCCACCACAGGTGTGAGTTGGGGGAAGGGACACATGGAGCAGGGCCATTGAGAGCTGTTTTGCATAGCAACAGCTTTGCAGCTAACCTCTGGTGTGGTCGTTTAACATATCTATAACCTTTAACTGGTTGCATAGATATGTTAAATAGCTGTGGCCATGCTCTGAGCCAGGGGGATGGAAGGAACTTCCCCCCAAGAGGTAACTGGGAGGCAACTCCCCCTAGTTACAGCACCTGCGTGAGAGCTTGGAGATGATTGGCTCCATGACATGGGGCCACCCCTGTGCAGATTCATAATGGAGCCCAGTAAAGCTGGAAGGACATTTAAACCCAGACTCAGTGGCCATTGAAGAGAGAACCATGCGGTTTTGGCTGAGTGGAGACTCCTGCAGCCGTGTAAGGAGAGGGAACATGCGGTTGTGGCAGTGAGGAGAACCACGTGCCTTGGCCAGAGTGGGGGGACCCCCCTACCCCACTGCAGCCATGAGAAGAATCGCCATGCAGCTTTAGCAGAGAACCACCACGTGGCTTTAGCTGGAGATCCCCGCAACACAGCCGATGGTGCTGAGAACCGAGGAAGGTCTACCAGCCGAGCACGGATTACTGGGAAGAACCGGGAGCTGCCTGAGCCATGGACTTCTATTTCTTTCCCTGAGATAGGGTACCCCAGACTGGGCAAAGGGGGGAAAGAAAGGACTGTGTGTGTTTGTGGGTGTTTTAAGGGACTTTGGGATTTTGATGAAGACATTAAGTCATTACTCTTAAGTCTGTATAACTTGAATAAATAGCTCCTTTCCTTTTCACCAATCTCTAACATGGAGAGCTATAATTCTCTGGTGATGGGAAAGGTGAACCTAGTACAGGGAGACCCCAGAAGAAACAGGGATCAATTCGGTAGCATTGTGTTGGGACCCTCTTCCCTGGTGGCCAATCAGGGAAAGTCATGGGAGACCACATGCGCAGTAGCTTTAAAGTAATACAACTACTAGTACATGCTCAGTAAAAGCCCACCAAAACTAGCCAGGAAGGATTTGCCCTATAAGAATAGAGTCCCTCCAGCCCGTGAGGTCAATCTCTGCTTGGAGTTGGCCTGCTCCCATGTTCTCTGCTATAAACTCTGCGTGTTTGGTTCGATTCTTTGTCCTGATCACTAAGAACCTGGTTACCTGTGCCCACCTGTGACACGTGTATGGAACAGATGAATGAACCAACACAAAAAAGAGACAGCCGGCTGAATCCCTTGGCAGAGCAAAGCTGGCCTTGCCGACCGTGCTGGTCCGCCTGCCTGCAAGTGCGGGGAGGCCGCTGCAGCCTGGTGCCCACTGGTGGAAGACGCTGGCCATTAAGTGGGGAAGGCTCTAGGCGAAAGGGAAAGCCCTCTCTTCAAGGGCAGTGTGCAAGTCCGCTCGGTGCTAAGAGAAGGGTGGGCTGTGCTGGTCAGGGAGGACTCCCCACGGGCGTGGGCCTCCTGTGGACTTTGAAGAATGACCAAGCCATCCTAGTGAAGGAGGGGATGGGCCTTCCAGGCGGGAGCCCTGCACTAGGACTTACATTTAAGCCAGTGGAAGGAAATCTCCACTGTAATGTCCTCCAGCCCTGGCCGGGTCACTCAACTGGTGGGAGTGTCGTCCCGTACTCCAGAAGTTTGCAGGTTCGATCCCCGGTCAGGGCACATGCCTAGGTTGTGGGCTCTGTCCCTGATTGGGGTGCATATGGGAGGTCACCAACCGATGTTTTCTTTCACGCTGATGTTTCTCTCTCCACTCCTCCCTCCCACCCCCGCACCCCGCTTCTTTCCTCTTCAAAGTCTGGGGAACACATCCTTGGGTGAGGATAAAAATAAATAAATAAACATATAAAGGAAATCTTTCAGCCCCCCACGGCTGGTAGCATTCACTGTCTCCAGGGGGCCTCTGGTGGGGCCTCTGGTGGGGCCTCCGTGCAGAGGGGACGTTGGGAACCCACAGACTGACATCTCCGGTAGCTGAAGCAGGGTGAGGGGCTGGCACAGAAGCCAGCTGGCTGCTCTCCGTGAACCAGGATATTAGCCCTTTAGCCTCCCAGAGGGCAGGCCCAGCACCCCCCACTCCCGGGACCACCGGTGTCTCAGGGGGTGCCTGCCGGAGGCCGCCGCGGGCGAGCAGCAGCGGTCGGCCCAGCTCGGGGACAGGCGTGGTAGCCAGAACATTCCTGGTGCCGCATCTGAGCACTCCTGGGAGCGGTCCAGCTCCGCCACGCCTCAGACCAGATGGCTCTTGAGGACACAATCAAAATAGCCTGGCCCCTGAACAGACCTTGATTCGGTCAATGCTACTTTTAGCACAATTGGAACGGCTCGGGGCCAAGGACAGGGCGGGGAATCAAACGAGACCCGGGGAGCCATCCGGCCCTGGTGGCGGCCGCCCGATGACTCTGCGGAGGAACTCCACGCAGCCGGGAGGGGGAGCGTGGGCAGCCGCTCCCTGGAAGTAGACCTTTCTCCCGTGAGGAAGAAATACCGACGGGCTAGAGAAGGACGGGTCCCTCCCGGCGCCTGCCTGGAGCTGCACTGACCAGCCAGGGCTGCCGGGTGGCTGAGAGGGTGACCTCCAGAGAGGTCAGGTCCTGCACCCGTCCTCCCACCCCCTG